GTGAGAGATTTTTTTTGGGGGGGGGGGAGTGTGGGGGAAAGGGTCAGAACACTCATGGTTAATTTTGAGTATGTCCTGTAATATTGAGGTGAGAGGAGGAGAGGGGGCCAGGGAGGGGTCGAGAACAAGTCCTCAGTGTTGTACTATTTGTCTCAGTCCTCAGGACTAAAGAAGACACTCAGGAAAAAAAAAAAAAAAGTGAAATAAATAACAGAGACAGCCATGACTCTGGCTCTTTCAAAACTGTGTACTTCCAGCTGGGATAGGCTAAAGAGATGCTCAACAGAGACGCACTCATTTCAGCAATCACCCTGGCCGGAAGGAGTGTGCTCCGCAGGGAGCTCACACAACTTTCCTTTTGTGTTTGTGTGTTGCTGTTCTCCCAGAGAACTATGCAGGCTGTGAGGACAAGAGGTCAGAGGCCAAGGAACCAGGAGGCCTCAGCAGGACGTTTCCTAGCATCCTCAGTGAGATGACAAATGGAGGGGGGTGAAGCAGAGGTCTGGCTCCCCACCCTTCCCACCATCCAGGAAGTGGCTCCATTTCCTTGCTGATACTCTCCCCTTCATCCATCCTGCTTCCCTCCCCCCGAAGCAGAGGAGCCATCCCAGAGTCAGTGCTCCTCACAGCCCACCTGCTCCTGGCTTCAGATCTAGGACATCTCCAGACTTCTAGAAAGAGAGGCTATCAGAAATCCATCCCCATCCCGCGCTTTCTCTCCAGATCATAGGAAAATATCAAAGGATGTCCATTCTGGGAGCAGACCTTGGGACAGCCAGCAGCAGGCACTGACAGATGCTCTGTCCCTCAGCCCTTGTCCCCTGCATGGGATGGGGAGGCAGAAATTTTCTGATTCTGTCACAGGGCAGAGTTCTGGTATTCTTACTTTTTAAAAAATGTTTATTTATTCATCTTTGAGACCAAAAGAGTACAAGTAGGGGAGGGGCCGAGAGAGGGGGAGACACAGAAGCCAAAGCAGGCTCTAGGCTCTGCGTTGTCAGCACAGAGCCCGAGGTGGGGCTTGAACTCACAAACTGCGAGATCATGACCTGAGCTGAAGTTGGACGCTTAACCGACTGAGCCACCCAGGGGCCCCGCTCTGGTATTCTTCTAAGTCTGTTCTCACCGCTAAACTTCATTCTCCTTGGCCAGGTCTTTTCATAATTTTCCTGTCCTGCAACTTACTTCTATTCATGCTTGTCCCATAGATAGGAAATGAAGTCTTCTTATTAATAAGTAGGTCTTCTGGGGGCACCTGGTGACTCAGTTGGTTAAGCATCCAACTCTTGATCTTGGCTCAGGTCATGATCTCAAGGTTTGTGAGAGTGCAGAGCCTGCTTGGGGTTCTCTCTGCTCCCCCCCTACTCATACTCTCTGTCTCTCAAAATAAAAGACAATTTTTAAAATCCTAAAAAAAAAAAAAAAAAAATTAGGTCTTCTGTAAACAACTCATTTATCAGGGTCCCTGGGTGGCTCAGTCAGTTGAGCGTCCAACCTCAGCTCAGGTCATGATCTCACAGTTCGTGGGTTTGAGCCCTGCATTGGGCTCTATGCTGACAGCTTGGAGCCTGGAGGCTGCTTAGGATTCTAGGTCTGCTTCTCTCTCTGCCCCTCCCCCACTCGTGCATTGTCTCTCTCTCTCTCTCTCAAATAAAACATTAAAAAAAAAATCTTTTTTCAAAGACTCATTTATCAGTTAGGGTCTAGGCCCGTGTCCACAAAGGCAAGGCCTAAGAACATGACCCACTGGTTCCAAGTCTCTGGCCTCCTAGTCCTGGCTGTGGAGAATGAAGGGCTTGTGGGCATAATCACCGAGAGCCTCTGTTCTGCTCAAGGGCTCAGTATTTCTGGAATGTTTAACTTGGAACAACCATTCACTGACCCAGAGTGCTCTCTCCTCTGTTCTTAGAAATCTGAAACCATATTCACCAGATGCATGAAACACGTGCTCCAATAGTGTACATACCCATGCATCAGGAGCACAGAGGGAAATCCCCCTATGATCCTCCTGCTCGTTGGGCCCAACTCTCAAAGGGTCTTAAGTGACAAACAGCTGCTCAGTGGCACAGAGCTGAGGGCTCTTTCAACCGGGAGAGTCCAGGTTGTGACATGGGGTTGCAGTAAGGGTTTAACCCAGTAATACAGAAAATGCACTAAAGACCCTCGTCCCTTGTGCTCATATAAAAACCAAGCCAAAATCTGATGCCTACATCACTGCCTCCTCGGACTTGGGCTCCAGAAGCTTCCTAAAGGGAACCTAATTTTACACCGGTCCTATCCCAAGTGACCTCAGAGGCCAACCCCCCACGGTCTCACTCTTCTCACAGATTTCTCTGGCAACCGCTGTCACCCAGGGCAGTATGAATACCTCCTCAGGGCCTCGGGAGGACAGAGAACCAGTGATACTGACCACAGCAAGGCTGCTCGGCTCAGCACTGACTGAGCACCGCTGGGGGTCACGCCTGGCCACTGTGCTGAGACCAAATGGGCCACATCACGCCCCAGCCTCTGGGGTCTATCTCCTTCTCTGTGGAGGTACATTTGTTATCGACCTCGTGAGATTGTGCCAAACCTCCACCTCCTCCCTGATTCTGCCTCTCTCCGCTCCAACATACCATGTCAGTGAATCCGATGGCACTGGCAGGACACTTTGAGGCCAAATCTCTTGTCCGACTAGACATGAGCAAGAGTCCCACTACTCTCTGAGCCAACGGAAGATCCCCTCAGGGAAGCTTCCCCTGGAAAGGTTGGGTTATTGACTTAATTTCCCACTAAAAACAGGTCAACAAGTCAGCCCTGGGGGATTCCAGCTACAGGAAAGGAAGCTGCCACCTGGAAGAATCCTGGCAGCTGCTGAGAAAGCTGCCGCTAACGGGTGCTGGGCTCTGATCTCAACAAGGGACAGTAACCCCAGTCAGTAGGAAAAGAATTCTCGTTTCAAATTTCCTTTTTTTTTTATTCTAAATAAAAACCACACTTTGTGCCGAACAATGGAATATAAAAGAATCAGATGTACAACGATTTTAGACATCTACTATTTGGGAAAAGAAGTTTACAAAATATACAAAACTTTACAGCAATAGATAGTAAACACTTAAATATTAGGAGGTCAGTACTTATTAATTTAATGGAAGGAAGTTAGACGTCAACAACTCTTCTTGGTTTCATAAGAGACTTTCGCTAGCAGAGGTGGGAGGGGAGGGCAGACTGGACAGGGGGAGGGGTGTTAAAGAAACATCGAAATCAAAACAGTTTCATTTCCATTCGGGTGTTCAGCTTACGATGCGTGATCACAATGAAATCAATGCTGTGTGCCTGTGCTTCCTGACTCACTCAGTGCAGGACTGAGGCAAAAGGATGTGTGGGGACCTCCAGATGGGCAGACTTCTCCACACAGCCCACTCCCGTGCCAACAAAATCAGTGTCCATCTATAAAAGGATTTGAATTTGCTTCCAAAGATGAGTAGTCTCAAGAATAGGGCACAGCAAGAGGCCAGAAAACAAAGAGTATTCATCAGTAGCAAAACCTGACTGGGGAGAAGGTATTTAAGCCCAAAGGTTTGTCCTGGAGACCAAGGGATGCTGAACAGAAAGGAAGAAAGTCAAAAAGAACTTTTACCCATTTCCTGGTTCTTAGAGGTCACGTGGGCCCAACTCCCACCTCTTTTCTTTCCAGCTAGCCATGAACTATAGAGACTCCCTGGGGCCTTAAAATTTAGGACGAAATACTAAAATACAGCAGCGCTTCCCAGCAGGTACTGTGGCCATCAGTGAGCCATCACTGAGTCACAGGAGAAGCAGGATACAGATCCCCTCCTCTGGCCACAAGCAGCCTCTGCTGTTTCTTCCAATGTGCCATACAAGTATTACCTTTTTCCCTTAAGAAACAGGTTGGGAATAGCCTCATGCCTGGTTTAATGCTCTGCAGTCGCCATCTCGAAATTCTTCATTTTTAAACAAAGGGCTCTGCAAATTACGTAGCTCGTCCTGAGTCAGAACAAGAAAAAGGAAAAAGGGAGGAAAAAAAAAGACATTCAGGGGTCAAAGAGAACCTCAGAACAATACAGCAGACTGCTAAACTGGGCTCCAAGGTGGGGAAGGGGGGGCGGTGGGGAAGGGGGGGCGGTGGGGAAGGGGGGGCATGGGGGCAACAAAATCAAATGAACAGAAGGTTGAAAAAAAGTAAAAAAACTCAAAAGAAAATGAATACCTTCAACCAGGTATCCCAGATGCCCTCTGCCACAATAGAGTTTCAAGTAAAACAGTTCAGAAAAGAGTGAGCTGGAGGCAGCAAACATGACTCCAAACAGAGGGAGGGGTCAGGTGTGAATATGGGGACAAGCAGAGGAACAGGGTTTGGTCAGTGAGCCTCATGAGCTACTGACCCTGCTACATGTCTAACTGCAACCAACCGGGCCACCCTGATCAACCACTTGACCTCAGGAGGATCAGGGAACGCAGTTTTTTGTTTAGTGTTTCAGGGGCAAAGTTTCAAGGATTTGCTTTTTGGTTTACTGGCAAAAAGGGAAAACTTCACAGTTTCAGGTTAAGTATACAGACTACCCAGCATCCACGATGCCCTCCGTTAAGGAAAAGGGTTTCTCCAGCACACTGATCCATTCTCAGCTACCTGGCTGGGTTCCAGTAAGTACCACCTCTCTCAAATCTGACCATTCAAAAATCAGTCCTCATCAACAGTCTGGGAATTACCCAGCCTTGAAAAGCTTAGCAGACACTAGACGGTAGCCTTTTGCACATTCTCCTTAAATTTCTAATGGTCAGCATGGGGAAGAAAGGGAGAAGCCAACCAGGGGTGAAAAATCTCAGCACTGGGGCACCTGGGTGGCTCAGTCAGTTGAGCGTCCGGCTCTTGATCTCAGCTCCAGTCACGATCTCCCGGTTCGTGGGTTTGAGCCCCGCCTTGGGCTCTGTGCCGACAGCATGGAGACTGCTTGGGATTCTGTCTCTCCCTCTCGCTGCCCCTCCCCTGCTTGTACTGTACTCTCTCAAAATAAATAAACTTAAAAAAAAAAAAAAAAGTCTCAGCACTGCTCTCCTGACAAGAATGACCTGAGGCAACAGGTAACAAGTTGGGTTTAGATGGTGAAAAGTGGCCACTGTACAAATCTCTTCGTGTAACAGTCACCCCACCAGAGAGTCATGCACCCTAACTGGGAGGCTTTATCAACTTAGGGCTAGGGAGAGAGACAGCAAGTCCAACAAGGACAGAGCTTTGGCTTGCCTGTATTTCTTAACATAGCTTCCCAAGTTTAGGAAGGATGAGAAAATGTGCAAAAAGGTCCTTCATATAACTTGTTACCCTCAACACAATCCCCAATCTACTTAATCACAGGAAGGAAGAGGGATAAAAGGCCTAGGAATTTAATAGGCCCCAAACTTCTAGAACTTACATCCATTATCTAAAGGGTAATGCAAGAGACCATGTGGAGAGAAAGAAAAGAATTTGCTTGTTTAAAGGCTTGACACCTTCTCCCCTATTCTAGCCCCTGTTTCCCAAATCTCTGGCCAGGATTGTCCCCTGGAATATGGCTACTTGCTGGAGAGAAACTCATTTTCCTGAAGTCACTAATCCAAAAGAGATGCTGGATAATATGTATATAAAAGCAAAAATAAATAAATATTATTGTCCAAAAAGGCTCTGTGAGTGAATTAAAACCACTTGCTTGTGAAACAGCCCGGGGTGCGGCTGAGTCCCACCAAGGGCAGTGTCAGGGCCTCGGCCAGGGACTCCCAGAGCTCGCCTGAGCAGGGTGAGGTAGTATGAGTTACTGAGGTGCTACCTTGTGAATATGCGAGATCCGAGGGCCCTCTCCCTCAAGCCTTCTTTGGGCAGAAACCCCTCAAAAGCCACAGAACGGAGCCAACCAGCCCCAAGGACTGGGCAGACTCCATCACAGCCACCCAGGGAGGGCCTAAACCAGCTGCCCTCCAATAGCGCCCCCTGGTGGCAATGCAATGACAGATCAGGATAAATTCCAGCAGGTCAAAGGTGAGCTGCCAAGGCTCCCGGCCAGTTAGTGTACAAAGTAAACAACGGGTTACCCGACTGGGACAGACAGAGCGCACATCCCGCTACACACCACGTTACCCAGGTCCCTTCAATCCTGAAGGGCTCACAGTCCATCACTCTGCCACCTCATGGGGTCTTCTCATCTACACCACAGGTCAAACACTTCTAGGTGGGAGACTGGATGTAAATTAAGGCAAGGCTGCTGCTGTCAGAGACATCCCCACCTCTCCACCAGGAAACTCAAGCTCGACGGAGGCCGCCAAATGACAGGTGACTGTATCAAAGTGGCTCCTTGTCCTCTTTACCCCACAGGGAAGGCCTAGCAACCTGGGCTATAACTCCATAAAACCGTATTTCTTTGGAATTGAGGAGAAAGGAGAAACCTCCCTTCCTGTCCATCCCGGCTGCCACTTCTGGCGGCACCGCAGGCCACCTCTTCTGACTGGCAAGGATTCATCCCAAAGCGTTCTGACCTAAATAGAAAGCTTTGTCCCCAGTTTGGATCTAGCTGCCAAAAGATTTTACTGTCCCATCAGCAGATTAGAGTGTCGCAACAAGCAGGCACCTCCATCCCATCTGCCTTTTCCCTGCTGAGGGCTGGGCCGGGAACCTGAGGTGAGCTGCCCTGCTGACTAGTCTTTTCCGAACGACCACATTTCCAAAATCTCTCACAGCTGGGCGTCCCAGTTGGAAATCTGGTACTAACACCCACAGTGAAAAGCCCTCTCTCCACCTCCTCTGTTCAGTGAGGCCGTTGGTTGGATTGTTAGCAGCATAAAACCTATCAGTAAACTAAAACTTGAGAGCCTCGGAGAGGGGATCTAGTTGATGCCAACTGCCTGACCAGATCCCCAAACTGGCCTCAAAAGAATCAAAAAACACAGCCCTTCCTGGGCAAGAACAGGTAAGGAGGTAAACATGATAGGGCCATCGCTTCTCAAATACAGTAACAGCTCGTGTGCTCTTTCTTCTTCTTTTCTTCTTTAAACACAGGACAGAACAGAATTCCGAGCAAGGCCAAACTGAAACTCTGGCTGGAGAGGGACCAACAGCCACTAGAAAATCAACGTCCTGGCTGCCGCCTGGGAGCTCCCCCTAGCTCCGCTGGGACCCAGTCAGCTGTCCGGGTTCTTTTCTGCCTCTTTGGAATGGATAATGTACATGAAGGTCTGTTCGATGGTGAAGTCGGGCGGGAGGCTGCCTTTGTGCACGCCGACATGCTTGCTCATGAGGTTAAGGGTGGAGCTGTAGTGGCCACAGACCGTGCAGCGGTACATGAGGGCCCCCGAGTGCGTCTTCAGGTGGCACTTGATGGTCGAGCGGCCTCGGAAGAACTTGTGGCACACCTTACACTGGTACGGCTTCTCGCCCGTGTGGATCCGCCGGTGGTAGTTGAACTCGCTTGTGTGGGCGAACCTTTTGCCACAGACCTTGCAGCTATACTTGCTGTTCCCAGCTTGGCCCTGCAGAGCCAGCTCCTCACTCAGGAACTCTTCCGCAGGCAGCTTCCGCTTCTGGAGAGCTGGGTGCTGCAGCCCAAAGCCAGGCCGGGCGTCAAGGCCACTGTTGCACTTGTGCTGGCTGACATGGTAGCGATAGGCGGCCTCCGACTTAAAGCTCTGGCTGCACAAGTGGCAGCGGAAGAGGGCGTCTTCCAGGCTTTGGTGCACGGCCATGTGCTTCTCTAGGAGATGCCAGTCCACAAAGCTGTTCGCACAGACAGAGCAGGAGAAGACTGAAATGCCGAGATGGGACAGCGTGTGCCACATGAGGCTGCAGAGGTTGAGGTGGCGCTGGTCACAGATGCTACAGGCCTGGCCCTTCAGGTTTAGATGGTCCAGGATGTGCCCCCGGACCACGTGGAAATCTTTGGCCAGTGCCTTCCCACAGGCAGCGCATTTCAACTCCGCGGAGGCTGTCCCTGAAAACAAACCCAGCTTCCCAGACAGGGGATCGTTGGGGTGGACAATAATGTTGTTCTCAAATATCCCATCCCGTCGGTGGAGGGTCAGCTGCCACTGCGTAAAGAATTTAGTTTCACACATGTCGCAGGAGAAGAGGAAAATACCAATGTGGGACAGGACGTGGGTCACCCGGGAGTTTCGGTCCTGGAAGTGGGTCTCACAGACCTTGCAGTTGCCTGTCAGCAGGTCCACGTGGTCCCGAGCATGCTGTCGGATCAGCTGAATGTTGGGCTCTAGAACTTTCTTGCACACCTGGCAGGGCATGGCCTTATTCTCTCGGCTGTCACTCTCTCCAAAAGTCAGCTCATCCTCACTGTCGTCACTCAACTCAATCACCTCCTCGGCCGTGCCTGTCTCCTCAATGGGGTCTTCAAACGGCAAGTCACCATCCCCCAGGTCCTCCAGCTGGAGCTCATCCATCTGCCCAAAGCCTGGATCTTTGGAGTGGTCGCTATTGCTCAGACAGGAGTTGGTCCCAGTGGTCATGTCAATTGCATTGTCAGTGGTGAAGAAACTGTTTTTACTGAAGTCTCCATTGCTCTGAACTTTGTATGGCTGGCAGCAGCTGGTGCTGGTTTGGATGCCCATGCTGACAGTGCCTAGGCCTGGCGGAGTCGCCATCCTGGGGACGGAAGTGAAAGGAGCAGGAGCATCATGGTCTTCTGTCTTTGGCGGCAGTGGCTGCTGTGGCAGAGGCAGGCTATGGTTAATGTCACCGGTAACATTTCTCTCTTCGTCTTTACAGCTTCCTCCAGCATCACTAGGTAACACGTAGTTCCTATCAGGACCGAAGTGCTCCCCACCAGCCCGGAGGTCTCCAAGGGGATAGGTAGGTTCTGCCGAGCTACAACTCTGGGCGCCAGAGTGGCTCTCACTGGCGCCGGTCAGGGGCTTGGCCACGGCCGTGCTCTCCAGGTCAGGAAAGGTGGAGTGGCAGGCCCGAAGGAGATCCTCCATACCCAGGCGCTCGGCCACCTCGTAGATGACCCCAACATTGATCAGGTCTGTGAAGAGCTCTGATGTGTAGACAAAGCTCAGAATCTTCTCAAAGTTGGCAGGGGTGATGAAGTCCACCACGTAGGTCCTGGCGGCATCGAGCCCAGTGTTCAGGAAGAGGTTCTGGAAGTAGCCAGCTGCACAGGCCAGCACGGCTTTGTGGGCCGGGAAGGAGCGGCTCCCCACCACAATGGTGACATCGCACATGGTCTCCGAGAGCCGGCACTTGTTGAGTTCCTTCAGCAGGTTGTTGGGGTGGTTGGTGCTTTGCAGTTTGATCCTCATGCCCATCTTAGCAGCTCCTGTGAAGTTGCCTCTATATCAGCACGGTTCACCTACGGACAGCAAAAGGAAGAGATGGATGGCCACACACATCCCTGCAGGCGAGGAGCTCTGCGGAAGAAAATACCGCCCGTCTGAGTGTTTCCAAGCCCTGGGTGGAGAAGAGCAGGAGAAAATGGACGTGGAGAGCTGGTCTATGCTGCTGGGCGCAATGACGGGACAATGACCCCTCTCCCTGCATAGTCACAGAGTCGTCCTAACAAAATCCAAAAGTATTGAAAAAAATCTGACAGCTTGGTCTTTAAGAGTCAGTAAGAGAGGTTGTAGGCCTGGTTGGACAGGAGCTAGTGCCTCAGAGCCAAGCCAGAGGCACCCTCTCAGACACCATTTTTATTTCATTACCAGAGCCACGGCTCAGATTTTACTCATATTAATTTTCTAATTTCTTCCTGAATACAAGCTTTCCTATCTCATTGAGTACATTCACTTCTCTTACAATTGCCAAATGCCATATACATCTTGGGACACAATTACCAAAGCTCCATTAGCCACTGAGGGCAAGATAAGGTTGCTCTTTTAGTTTCCTATCAATGCTGTGTCTTTTCAGTCCAATAAACCTCTTGCTCATTCACGAGTTCCCATCTCTCCCTGCTACCTGCCTACTCTCTTGTCTCGCCATAGCCCAGAGCCATCCAGATAGTGTTCTGTCACCTTCTCTGTATGCTGTGGATGAAGCTAAAGCACTCAGGACCCAAAGAAATAAAGCAAAGTAGAATACACTGTGGTATTTACTCTTACTTAAATGTTTTTTTTTTTTTTCCTTTTACCACCCTCTTTGGGACTTATGCATACGCTGACCAGAACTACCAGATTTTTACTTGATCCTCTAAGAAGGCATCTAATTATATAGGTAAGACTCCTAAAGGCTTCCCAGATCCCACTTTTCCCCCCTTTCGAGTACTGCATGCCTAAGGAAGACAAGCTAGCTACATTCTCCTTCAGTCTCACCACTCGCCCCGCGCGACACAGCCCCTTTCTCCACCTCACCACCTCCTACTAACTCCCAACTTTTGCTGGGGTCCAAGAAGCTTCTGCGCATTGCTGGGATACCAGTCAAGCATCTCCCGGGCCCTGGTGGCCACACACCAGGTCGGGGCACCGGAAAGCCTGAGTCGGGGGGTGGGAGGGAGGCAGACTGGGAACTTCCGAGAAGGCACCCCAACAATCTCGTGGCGCCGCAGTCTCCCCTCTGGAGGATCGAATCCAGGAAGAAGGGCGTTGGATCGGGCGAGGGTGCTCCAATCTGGGGGCCACCGAGCACCTCGGTTCCTCCTCAAACGGCGGGGGATCCCTCGGAGCGCCTCCGGACGGGGGCCGGGGCGCCGGGCCGGACGGGATAGAAGGGATGGGCGGCGGGACCGGCCGGGGTCGGCGCGCGGCCGGGAATGATGGGTCCGGCCCAGGGGAGCCGGCAGGAGGGAGCCCAGCAAGAGCGAGAGAAGGGCCGGGAGGGGGGTCGGGCCTCGGCCAGGGGCAGCCCTCGGCCCGGCCGCGCTTACCCGGCTCCGCGGGGCCCGAGCACCATCGCCACCGCCGCCTCACACAAAGGCCCCGGCCCGCCGTGCCCGGCCCGACGAGGAGGCGGCGCCGCCGGCCGCGGCCAGACTCTCCATCCGC